GTATTGGGATTCAAAACAGCTGCTGTATTTTCAGCAGTTTGAAATTACAGCACTATAAAGGCTTTCGCTCCCGAGCAGTGAACCAAAGCATCTTCAATGCAAAACTGAATCTTCAGAGCGGCGAGTGCATGTACATGATCAGGACATGTGTAGTCCTGCAATCAACATCAGAAACAGACTATTAACTCTGCGATGGCCTTAAAACCCTCGTTTTAACAACACTGGCTCGACTAAAGCTTTATTTACAAAGACGAGTTATGCTAATTTGTGTCGTTAATCAAAGTTATGGGGCTTTTAACTTGTTCACATGATATGCTGGCAGCTAAGATGAGCCTATTAGGGTGTAATTGTCTGGTCTGATGGGAGAAACAACCGGCTGTAACTAGAAAATTAAATATTCCTGCTCAAATTACCTATTATATTTCACCAAACACGGAGGGTATTTCATGATATTAGTCCTTGGTGGCTTGCCAAATGAGTTTTCTTTTTAATTAGCTGTTTCTTGACTGTTTCAGGTAGATAATTTTAGAAGCTACAGTAGAAATGATTGATGAGCAGGAGGGCTGGAGGAGCAGCAGGAGAAGCAGAATTAATTACCCACGGAGACAAACAGAAGCTCGGCACTAAAACTTTCTTTTTATCTTGACTACCAAACGTTTGAGCGCAGCTTCTTATTCAAAGGACTTGAATGTTCTACAAGGTAGAGCAAAACTGCAACACCTTTGGAGCTGTGAAGTAAACAGAATTCCACATCCTTCACATTATCCTCAGTTTGCTTTGGTAATAGTGTTGCACTCTTTTACTCTACACACAGTTTAGGTTTTGGTCACCTTTGATGCTTTTATTTTGAAGGAATTCTCACTTATTTTCCTTCGCTCTGCACAAACTCATCCCAGACCAGCTGGGTTTGTTTAGAACGTCCAAGTGCTTCTTAAAGCTCATTGAACCAACTTTTAACATTTTATGTACATTAATAAAATCTATGTTTAATCAGCTGGTATTTCTGCTGCAATATTTAAACATCTTGTTGATTAGTTGTCCACATCCCTGCTGGAATATGGTTTGGATTAGGTGAGAGCATGCAGGTGGCAGTACACAGGATGCCAGTTCATTCATTGTAAATTAATCAGATGGTAGTAACAGGTGCAGGTGAGCAGCACATGGACTTCACACCAGAGAGCTTACAGTTTAAATATGTCTGATGTGACAATATTTACAGTTTAAATATTGACACATATTGACAATATGTGTCAATATCACAGGCACCTCTGCTGGGTATTTTCAAGAAGTTTCCATTCAGTGATGCATTAATTCCATCCATATTCTTCAGCTTATCTAATCCAGGGCTGCAGAGCCTTACCTGGAGCCGGGGTACGCCCCGGACAGGTCACCAATCTGTTGCAGGCCTGCGAGAACAAAATGACAGATTCCCATCACGATTTCTACTCTGAGTGTTTGAGATTCGATCTGGGGAATGGGCTCCACAACTATGAATCGGCTCGTATTTCTATAGCAGTACTAGATGGAAACTTTTTTTCCTTCAAGCTGATATTACCTTTGGATTTTTTTGCTTTGGTGCCCGATTAATTATCAGAATTGTCTTTTTTCCTGTGTGACCGTGGGGATAAATAACTCAATAGCATGAACTGCACGAATAAATCAAGAAGTCAGCGTTGACACCTTTATGATCCGTTAGTGCTGCAGATCATTTGCACTTTAACCGTGCTGCGTTCAAAGCTGACTGTGACCCAGACTGAGACCGAAAAATAATCCTGCAGGTTGAGTCGGGGGTTAGTCTGGTCTCAGGTCAGTTTGTAGGTCAGTTTCATAATGACGCTCAATGACATAACATGAATATATTGCAGTAGATTACCGACAGTGGTGGGCTGAACATGGCCAACAGCTGGACCGCTCCACTTCAGTCCAGATGTTGGGTTGGATCCATAAACCAGGTTAAACAATGCAGAGTCTCGCATGTGTTTATTCTCAGTTTCACTTGGTTCCTGTTCAAAGTCAGCATCATTACCCAGTCGTATTCATTTAGAGCCAACATCCCTAAAAGGACAGCAATAAATGTGTGTATCTACCAGAGTGAAACATATTTGTATCATATTTGTTTGATGGTTTTGGTATGAAAAGATAGAAACGTAGAAATAAAAACAAATGAATGAAATTCAGCCGTAATAACCAAAGGAAGAGGTGCTTGTGCTAAAGCTGCAATAACATCAGTGCCATATAAATCATAATGCAAATATACGAAGTGGGAGTCTGTGTGAGAGCAGCTTAAGTATCAAATGTCAGAAAGTTTGTTAGAACAGTTTCTGTTAAATCAGATTACAAATGCAGATTTAATGTCACTGAACACTCCATTATAAATCTGCACAGTTGTTCATCTTAAGTTTAATGTAATCAGTTTTAGCTGTCAGTCATTTATGTTGGTGCTTTATGAAGAATTATATTTTAAAAGAACGTCAGAGTTGAAGTAGCTTCCAGGACTGAAATATGAAGCAAATGCAGAAGTGTCAGCATTATTTCCTTTGGCCAGCAGAGGGCGACTTATCTAGATATGGTCCCAATCCCTATTTTCAAGTGTTACTGATGACAACATGATGTTTATTCTCAATGTTATGATCCCCATTAGTGATAAAGTACCGTAACCTTTAAGGTAGGCCTCCTGCGTAACTGCTCCGGTGCTACATTTTCAGGGTTTTTTGGTCAGTGCCTCACTTTTCGACATCCAGTTTCAAAATTCCAACATAGCAGCAACAGAAACAAGATCAGTGTGTGACGTCAGTCCATGTTTACGGTCCTCACCACACGAGCATGCCCTGAGCACAAATAAATCAAATAAATCTGGGATTTATGGTCCAGTTCTGACGTCTGTTTGTGCAACCTGTTGCCTCTGCAGACAGAGGGATCATGGGAACCAAAGCACAGACTGCAGAGATGCAGCAGAAGCAATAAAATGTGACCTCTGTATGTTCAGGCTGAATGCTGATTGGTTCAAAAGTTGGTTTGAACAGGTAAGAATGTGAAATTGGAGTTCATCTCCAAGGAGAGAAAAATATGGGAACAAACATTAAAGATGAAAAATTGTGCACATGAGAAGCTGCAGCTGACAGTTTTAAGGCTGTGACGCATTTAAGGGTTTGAGCTGAAATGTAAGGACAGTTGAGTTTAGTTTAGTTGTAGTTAGTGTCTTTGAACTTTGGGAAACAATGACGTAGACGACCACATTCACCTCCTGACTGAGACTCATGGTACCACAAACAGTCTTACAAATACAAGAAAACAGCGGAGACACTTAATTCTTCAAGCAGATTCTTACTCTGTCACAGGACCCAGAATATTCCAGCCCGGCTCACCCTTTCTGATTTCATCGTTACTGTGTGGGTCCTCCTTTCTCTGTCTGTGGATAATAATCTTGTTATCACGTGAATATGTTGATGGATTTGCATTGCAAAACCTCCCAACTCCCAGAGTTCCCTTCCTCTGTGACCTCTTTATACTGCTGTGGAGTATCCGGGTGGCTTCATTCTGGATTCTTTGAGCATTTTTACACAAACAGATGAGCTCAAAATATGTTTTTTTGGTGAAGATTGTTTTAAAATGAAATACGTGATTGTGGCTGTGGCCTGAATGGAGCGTGGAGGTCTCTCTGCCAATCTCTCTCTCTCAGCAGGTCGTGTGTAATCTCCAGTCTGTTCACAGCTGGAGCCACCAGACCACTTTAACATGAGAGCTCCATCAGCAGCCACACACACACACACACACACACACACACACACACACACACACACACACAC